AATAGATAATAGATAAGCTGTAATAATAAGATAATAGATAATAGATAAGCTGTAATAATAAGATAATAGATAATAGATAAGCTGTAATAATAAGATAATAGATAATAGATAAGCTGTAATAATAAGAACTCTTATTCATAACATTAAGAGTGTCTTAATATACTATATTATGATACTATTATATATTATATGACTCTGTTATTATACTATATAGACTATATTATGTCACTACTGATACCATGTCATAATGGGCAAGAAGCATAATATTATTGTTACGACCATAATATCTAAAATAATATACTAGGTAGGCTCTCGATATATTTCTATGCATGGTTACGCACATTACATGTTTAGTAATCGTCGGGAACAAGATAATAATCACCACTGGAGCGCTTATTAAGTTTGTGTAACAAGCCCACGCCGGTGTGTCGACATGCTAAGGTTGTTTCAAGCCAAAGCACATGCGGTATAATCACGTGCGTGCGTGCATAAGGACGTGTGTACGTGCGCGCATGCCTGTGGGTGCGTACACGCGTGTCTATGTGTGTTGTGTGCGTGTGCGCGCGTGAGAGAGCGTGCGTGTATGCGTGTGCGTATTCGTCTTCACGTTCGTGTGCGTGCATGTGTGTGTGCGTGCGTGCGTGCGTGCGTGCGTGCGTGCGTGCCTGTATGTGAGTGTCCTGCGCGCGCGTGTCCATGTACGTGTGCATGCGCGCGTGTGTCTATGTGTGTGCGTGCGCGCGTCCGTGTATGCATGTGCGTATCGTCTTCATGCTTAGTGTGCGTGCGTGCGTGCGTGCGTGCGTGCACAGGTACAAACCAGCGGTTACCTTGAGGAGGATGAAGGCAACGAGAGCGCTCCAGACGAAGATGACGACACACGCGAGCGCCTGCACTGCTAGTAGCATGCCGCCTCCACCTCTCAGAAAGCCGCTCCGACCGAACGTCAGGGATTGCACCTGCACAAAACACACGATGTCACACGCACAGACAGATAGATAACATACACACACACACATGCTCACACACACACACGCGCGCGAGCGCGCACGCACGCACGCACGCACGCACGCACGCACGCACGCGCGCACGCGCGCACGCACGCGCGCACGCACGCACACACACACACACACACACATAGAAAGAGAGAGCGCGCACGCACGCGCGCGCGCGAGAGAGAGAGAGCGCGAGAGAGAGAGAGAGAGAGAGAGAGAGAGAGAGAGAGCGAGAAAGAGATAGATAACACACGCTGTCTCACAAACAGACAGATGAATAGTTAACGTTTCCTGTCGCGCGAATGGTCGCGTGTTCGAACGAAAACTTTGTACGGCGTGATGAATGACGTATTTAATGATAAATCAATCATTTTACAGAACACACGGGAGTTGCGTCGGCTGGTGACTGTTTACAGTAAGACGGGGTGGGGGAGGGGGATCGGGCATAGCTTTAGATTGTAGATTGCTGGTTTTGCGTTCGAGCTCTTTCCGAAAGGTCATCATCTTTATGGTATATTGTACAAGTTACGGATTTACAATTTCTATCTAGGGTATGTACGTTTTTGTCGAAATAGGCTTAAATTTATTTATTTCATTTCATTATTAAAATAAAAATATTATATCATTTTATTATTTATTTAAGTATTTTATTATTTTATTATAATTATGAATTCATTTTTTTATGGCGAAACAGTTTCGTACCTTGTCTTCGGCAACAAAGATACCTATGGCCAGCATTCCCCATATCGAACAGACTCCGTGTACCGGAACTACATCCACGGGGTCATCGATATGCAGCTTCCGGCACAGCGCGGCAGCAGCCAAGGCGAGCACGGCGCCCACGAAACCAATCACGATACCCTCCCACGGCGCTGCTATCGCGCATGCGCCTGTCAGAGGTCAAATGTCAACGATTAAAAACGATCCACACGTCGTAACTTACTGACCGATGCTTTCTCATGTTGCATGTCTTCTGCGTGAAAGCTACCAAAAGTTCGGGAAAGGCACGTATCTATAATATGTTGTAAGTATACTGTAGCAATATAATGTACTCAGAGCCTCACCAATGATAGCATCTCTCGCGTTAAAACAGATTTAAAATAAGATTAGTAGTGCTATTGTATTGTTGTATTGCACTGCTATTATTCGCAATTGGTCTTAGTGCTGCCACCTACTTACCTGTTATAGAAACAAGAGCACCCAAGACGCCATTAATGAGATAGTTTATTTTAATATGCCGCTTTTGGAAGATGTAGCTGAAACAACGAGCAGAATCTTGTGTCACTTTCATATATAACAGGATATCGTATATATATAACATATACATCCATAACAAACGGTACACATATTTACGTATGACCATGATTGCACGCTTCATGAGGCTGCCCTCACCTTATCTTAGTGTTACACCTGTGAGACTGTCCTTACCTTAGTGTTACACCTGTGAGACAGTCCTTACCTTAGTGTTACACCTGTGAGACTGTCCTTACCTTAGTGTTACACCTGTGAGACAGTCATTACTTTAGTGTTACACCTGTGAGACTGTCCTTACCTTAGTGTTACACCTGTGAGACAGTCCTTACCTTAGTGTTACACCTGTGAGACTGTCCTTACCTTAGTGTTACACCTGTGATACCAGTCCTTACCTTAGTGTTACACCTGTGAGACAGTCCTTACTTTAGTGTTACACCTGTGAGACAGTCCTTACCTTAGTGTTACACCTGCGAGACAGTGCTTACCTTAGTGTTACACCTGTGAAACAGTGCTTACCTTAGTGTTACACCTGTAAGACAGTCCTTACCTTAGTGTTACACCTGTGAGACAGTCCTTACCTTAGTGTTACACCTGTGAGACAGTCCTTACCTTAGTGTTACACCTGTGAGACAGTGCTT